CTCAACACCTAACCAGCTTCCGCTGCACTTAGACTTCCTCCTCATTTTCCAAACTTTAACTTAAGAGTTGGGAGATATGTATGTGTGTATATCTATATAGGAAAGATCCGACAAAGTCGACTTCAACGGAAGTACATTCACGACTTCACGTTGGTTCGCATAATCAAAGACCCGCGGACAAAGTGTAAAGACCCTTTAGAATTTTATGCTTGAGTCATCATCCATCGACAGCAACTTTGGCGGCTTTCGATATGGGTTTTCTGTTTTCTGTTCATTTTTTATTATTATTTTTGTTGTTGTTTAAGTTTTCTTATGTTTGGTCGTTGCTTCCGTTTTCAAACCGAGAACAACCGCTAAGTATTAGGAAATCAAAAGCCAAACAAGTCGAGTTTCTCTATGGCAAGTGCACAATTGCAGTGGCAACACCAACATTTCCGCCGCTTGTGGCCAAAAAAGGCATTGGACAATTATTATTATTATTATTGCTATTGAGTGTGTGTATGGAGTGTATGGAGTGGAAAGGAAAGGAAAAGCAACAAGTGCAACACTCTTAGATTGCGCCCACTAATAACCCACTGAATGGGTGAAACAAGGACAGCACGAGTGGTGCAACTTCTTCTTCGGTTTTTATTTGCCAAACACACGAAAGGCAAAGACCGGTCAACTTGGAAATTGTCAACACAGCCAAGCTATAGAGTCACTTGCCACACAACTTTGACTACAACTCCCCAGAGTTGTTGTGGCTGGCGGTTGGGGAGGGGGCATTGAGGGGTTAAGAGACGTCCAACTGCGTAGACAGAGCTCAGACATTGCCCAAGCTGCCACAAAGTTTTGCACTTTTCCAAAAAAAAAACATCAATAGAGGGGAGTCGTGGCACATAGTCGAAGACTGTCTACGCTTCCTTGACATGGAAATTACCGGGAAGCGGGAAATGTAAGCCAGTAATACAGATAGCTTTTCCATTTCCCACAAGGAATGTGCATGTCTGTTCGGTGCACTTAATAATAGATTGGAATTTAAATGGGAATTCATTGACACAGTTATTGTAATAAATAAGGAAAGAAATGTTGAGAAATTTCTTAAAGATTCCTAAATTTCATTTTCACTTTTATATAAGTTTTTAATATTTATATTGGTAACTTATAAACTATTTATAACTTAGGAGGGGAAATCAGATAACATAAGTAAAGCAATGAATTATAGCTTTCGACCAAGGAACTCATCAACAAAACTGAAGTTAAAGAATCTTAAAATAATAAACTTTAAAGGGAAATAACTAAACAAAATGCAGAAAACCATTTAAGACATTTCAAAAGGTTAGTGGTAAGGACTTTGGTTTGCCTTTCAGTTGCCAAAAATATTAAAAAATGTAAAAATAATTTTTTAACATTTTTGTAGTATTTAGAATAAACCCCAAAGTTTAAAGCTCTTTTGACTGAATAAATACCTAACTAAAAACATAGAAAAAGAAATACAAGACAATCTTATCAAGCCATCAGAAATTTTCAACATTTTGGCCAAGAAGTTACCAACCCCTTACCATAGTTCTTGTACCGATTTAGTCAATTCGATTCCCTATCATAATCCTTTGCTAGTTTTGCAGTTTGGTAGCTTCTTTTTTTTTTGGCATGCGCCGCGTGAAAAACGAAATGAAAAGTTGTTGCTGTTTGTGTCGCTGTCGATGTCGATGCTGCGATGTTGCTGCTGTTGGTGTTGCTGTTGCTAGTGTTGTTGCTGTTGCAGTGGTCAGTGTTGTTGGGGTATCTTTTGGCCGCCCGAAGGCTGCAGACCCAGCGAATACATAGACACACACTCCCAAACACATTTGGAAATGGAAAGTCGTCGTCTGGTTGTCGTTTTGCAGTTTTGTTTTGGGGGTTTTTCTTTTTTTTCTTACCGAGTTTCGGTTTCATTTTGATATTTCGTTTTTTTTTTTCTTCTCATTTTTGACTGGGCTGCAACCGGTTGCATTAGTGCAACGGCAACATAGCAACATTAGTACATGCAACGAATTTTTCGTATTATTTTTATTAGATTTTGATTTATTGTTTGTGTGGAGATTGCCGGGGCCTATCCGCTAATTGCAATTGGCCAAGCCGGGGGAAAAAAAATGTGGTAACTGCAGAGCGCAGGAATTCTTGTTGCGAGAAACGAGAAATCTCGGCTTCTTCCCTCCTTGCTGAAGAGGAAAGCGAAAGTTAGAGGCTTTAAATTTGAAATTGAAATTTCTTGTTTGTCGGTTTTATGGTCGAGGAAAAGCAAAAGCCGCGACTCAACTCTTAGCGATTCGAGCCAAGTGCACGTTTAGTTTGGGCCATAAACTGAGTGCTGCTGCTGCCGCCGCTGCCATTATGAGCTAACTTCAAGCAGGGCGGCTCAGAGGTTTCTTTTCGCACTCGCCCCACTCGGGTTATATAAGGTTGCGGTTCGGCAAAACCTTACCGAACGTCATTAAAATTGCAAATTTCTTTCCGTCTTTATCTGCCTGTGTGTGGATAATGGGACCAGAAACTAATAAGCAGGTGCCGCCGCCATAGAGAAATATCTAACCCTTTGTTACAAGCCAAAAGATAAACCCTAGAGCTAACTATATACACATTTTCTTGAGACTCTTGAGATTCTGCGTGTCAACGCTTTTCAGAATCGAGTTCATACATAAAACATTAGTTTAAATTAGTGGCTGGCCCTGGCTGTCTATCGGTTGATATTTGTATGGAAACAAAACCATAAATTGGATTGATTTATAAATCGTATTTGATATTTATATTAGAGGTTTCCTAGACAAAGGTTTTCGATAGCAAACTACCGTTTCATGGGTGATATGTGCTATTTTTATCTATTTTTTTGCGGTTAATAAAGGGGGTTTTAAGGTTATTTATAGGTTACTTCGGGGATATGTTAATAACCAGGAGGAATCTTAGAAGTTTCTGTTATTTTCTTGGCTTATTAATTAACAAATTAAACGCTTTAAATCATCGATTTCATCCTCTTGTAAAGACTTGCCAAAAACGGAACGATTTTCATAGCTTTGAGTTTACTTTCTTCACTCCATTTAACCATATAGATCCACTACCCACAACAATCTCAATGAGTTGCAAATTTCACCCGCTTCGATTTCAATTTTTTAGGCCATAATCAAGTACTTCTGGCCACTGCCCACTCGAACACCAAAGAAACACACGCACAACAAGTTAGCGGGTTGATCAATTAACATTTGAATTATATTTACGAGCAAAATATTTCACTCTTCCATGGCCGTTAAGTGTTTATAACTTTCACTGCAGCGCCGCTGTCTCATCTCTCGATAGAAAACATTAATTAAAGCATTAAATGCACATAATTAACGCAGTCTCAGTCCCAGATGCTGCCGCATCTTTCTCTCAGCTTTATATATGGCTATATACTAACTGCTTTTTTAACCCAACAGTTGCACATTCGTATATACACATTAGTTTTTCGTAATGATTTTCCTTTTGTTTGGTGAGTTTTTCTGTTTTTTTTCCGATTGTTTTCGCATGGGAAATGGAAATTGGCAGATCGGAGGAGAAACTGGCGGGGAAAAGCCGCACATCATTGAGGAAAAGACGTCAAGTTGAGTTAACCTTGAGTTTTCCGGGGTAATAAATTAAACTGTTTTGTGTTTGGTAAGCATAATTTCATTTCTTACTGTTCATATGCGGAAGATATAATCGAATGTGAAGGAAGTGAAGTAAACTATGGCTTCTCTAGTATAAACTCAGATTGTTAGTGCCAGAAAGTTAAGTGCCATTTTAATGATAATACAACGAGCTTTTGGCACAACGAGCAACAAAAAGCAGTGATTATGAATCCCAATGAATCTGCCAATAGACAAAAGTCCATTATCTCTGACCGTATCGGAGTTAATTTCATGCCAACATTATGTAAAACAAAGCCAAAAGAGCAGAAAACCAAATCGGAAGCTTCACCCAAATAACCTGAACTTTTACAGTTAAGTCAAGATGGCCAAAACAAAAACGAGACTTGTGTCAAATACGTTTAAAATGTAAAAATTCAAGCAACGAAAATCCATCGAAATATTTCACAAAAAACGCAAAGGAAAAATGCAAAATAAAACGGAATAAAATTAAAAATGTTTGCCTTGCAAACCGGTTGGAGCATAATAATCATATCAGAACCGGTTGGATTTAAGAACTCTGGGTTCGAAATGAACCGTAGTCGGGCCCAGAATCAAATCGCCACAGGTCGCTTGTTATATGTATTACTTGGCCTGCTGTAACTTAAGCCAACCTTTTTGCCAATTAATTTAACAATTTAAACCAAAATAATTAAATTTAAAGCTGTGTCAAAAGCGGCTCTCAGCCTAATTTCAATTTGATTGGATCTGATTGAGATCTTGGCTGAGAGACAACCGTGAAGCAAGCCAAATTGCGGCGACTCTGTAATATTTATAATAAACAACTCAACGCTTTTGGCCAAAAAGGCCAACGAAAAACAAAAAATCCGAAAGAGATTTGCAAAAAGTTATTGCCTGTCAGGCCAAGTGACGGCTGCCCAGTCTCGGATTTCTTTTTTGGGGTTTCTTACCACTGATTATTGAAAAGAACTCTTCCGGAGTGGCACAAGGGGTACAAGGGGTACAATGGGGCAGAAGGTATTACTTTCGGAGTAGATAAGCCATCGGGCGAGTGCTAATCACAAGCTGCCTTCAACGGGTCCCCATGGCCATTGATTTATTGCCAGATTTCAAGTTAACACTTTTTTGCCGATCCCAAATTGAGTTATTTATTCCTTGGACCGAACGGTCACGTACTCAGCAGCAGCAGCAGCAACAGGTTGCAAGTACCAAGTTCCAAGTTGCACGTTGCACTAGCACAGCGCTTAGATTTATATTCGTAGATTTTGGCAGTCGTGTTAATGAAGTTTTCGCTGATTTATGTGCTTATGAGCCTGTCGCCCAGGAAGTTGGTTTTCGAAAATCGATTTGGAAAATCTAATTGGAGTCTCTTTCCATTTGCAGATTCCTGTGGCAACTAGCTCTCTTCCCAACACTGGAGTCATCACTGGAAACCCATTAAGTGGTAAGTGCTAGAACCATAAAAATAGTTAACAGCTCAAGGTATTTGTCGAACTTCTTAAACGCTGCCCAGTAAACGTTTCTGTTAACTGGCTAATGATCATTCGTAAATGGTCAACAGATGGGCTGCCTCAAAGAAAGAAAAAGAAATGGAAAAATATCACTATAAAACCGGGGATTATGTAAACATTCATGCTCCAGTTATGAGCGTTTTGTTCGAGATCTTCGGGCCACCTTTCATTCACGATAAGCCTTCATTTCGCTGCGTTTTATGGTTCTACTTAACTGCGCACAACCAGTTTGGCTTTTACTTAATCAAAACGTCAGTGAAAACCTTCACGAATGACAAAAACAAAAAATGTCAAGCATTTCGTTGCACAGGGAAAAGTGAAAATCTGAGAAAATTAAATTGTACAAACGCAAAAAAAGAAGAAGGAAAATCACTCAAATTGTGGTTTATTTTCCCTAGCAATTCATCCATGAAAATGGGTGCCAAAGTGAAACTGAAACTGGCTCTTTGGTTTTACTTGAGTAAACTTGGCGATCAGGGCCTTAATGGGCTATAAAATGAGGATTTTAAGGCTGTAAATGAGGGCCAAGCTCCAAGGATTTTAGCCTTTTCTGGCTGAAGGAATAAATCATCCACAAATTTGGGCATTTATTTCTTGACCCAAACAGTTTTTGTCTCTTCTTAGTCATGTTTTTTATATTTTTTTATTTTAAAGCAAAAAAGAAAAGTGATTCACAGGCATTGTGGGTCAAGTTTATGGCTTTCTGTTGGCTTACTCTTACTCCAATGCCATGAATCATTTGTACCTTGGCCAGAAACTGAACTCATTTACCACAACATTGTAGTGCTGTCCATTAGCCAAGTTTAATTAGATATTTATCTTGGCTTTGGCCTGCTGCCAAACTTCGCACATCCATCCCAAGTTGATTTTTGGGGTCTCGGTTTCCTTTATTGTGCCAACAGCAGAATTCAAAGCAAATTGCCAATTGTTGTCGCTTTGTCAGCTTTGCTAATTCCCAAACAAAACAAACTGAATTATTTATCAAAGCAAGTCTTTGGGGGCCAACAAAAGACGGGCAAACTGTGGTGTTGCCACGAAGTTCATAAATAATTTGTTACAGTTTCTGAGTCTCGCAGCTTTGTTTTGGGTTTCGAACAAAGCCGAACTAAGCCTTTTGAAAGCATTCCAAATTTATAGATTCCCCTCAAAGAGCCAAAAGCTTTCAATTTTCTGACCAGCAACGATTCTTGATTGAGAGAACTATGAAAGGAATTCTGTATGCCATGTTGGTTCTATAGTTGGTTCTTTTCCAGTTAAACGACTTTCCCGCACAATAGACGGGGAAAGAGCAGCCCAGCATACTTTCTAAATGCACAAATCACGGCAGTGGGTAGAGAATTCAATGGCGTAGAATAAACATTTTGGGTCTTAAATAGGCTTTAATTAACAATTTATGTGCAGTGGCAGTGGTAGTTGGAACAACAACAATAACCGCAGCAGCTACATCAAGTTGATGCATCATCCTTGGCATCACCAGGGGTTTTATCTCCATCGGAGAGTCTGTAATCGGCCGGCTACTGTGCGTTGTCACAGCCAGCTCCTGCGGCCTCTTTTCTGCCCAGTCATCCTTAATTATTATGATTATCGATGTTTTATGCTCTATAATTGCCGTTGGCAGGCTGTCCATTCAGTTGCCTGCCAGTGACTTGGTCTTTTTGGGCGTCTCCCCGGTCCAGCCCCCAAAATTGCTGGCTCTCTTAGCTCCTTTGTGGCCCTTAACTAATTGATATAATTCTGCAGCTCAGACTTTGGCTTACTTTGTTGCTCGTTGCATGTCTCTTGACAAGTTCGTGTCCTAAGTCTTTTGTTTCGGCCGTCAACTGCCGCTGGTTCTACATAAATTACGGCAAGTTAATGATTATCTCTTAGTCGGTTAACCATGTGTCAGTCTAACGCAAGACAAACGTGTATACATATAGGACTATATATTATATATATATTTAAATGTATTGCCACGGCGAGTGAGTAACCAAAACATCTTGGCAAGCCAACAGCCGACATCAGGCCAAGATAAGCTTGGTTTTGACACACTGGCTGCACAGTGGAGTCATAAAATGGTTAGATGTTACTTAGCTACTAGTAAACAGCTTAAGAATAAAACATCTGAATTAACTAAATAAGATGTGTGGTAAGTTTACTGACCATAAATCAAGAAACTAAATAGATTGTTCAATTTATTGGCTAAGTCTATTATGCATCAGTACTGTATAATTATAATTTGAATTTTATGATCTTTAAAGCTTAAACTTTGACTTTTATTTACTTGTAAATAAGCTTTTCTTTAAGTAATATATCAGTTTAAAGGCCTTGTTATTACGTTGTTATTCAGCTAAGGAGTAAATTTTAAAGCCAGGCTCAGCAGTATCCCAGAGTATAGGCCTTATTTGCTGTACAGATATAAAAATAGGTAAAGTCTTCTTAGAAGATTCATACTATTGTTAGTTTTATATACAATATACGAGGTGTGTTCAAAAAGTAAGGTGACTCTTCAAATTTCGCGAATTTCAAATTTTTCGATTATCGAAACCTTTTAGAAGTTATACGAGGTGTGTTCAAAAAGTAAGGTGACTTTTCAAATTTCAAATTTTTCAAATTTTTCGATTATCTTCAGTTTTGGGAACAAGAAAAAGTCACATGGGGCCAAATCCGGTGAATATGGTGGCTGAGGCATTATTGTGGTGTTGTTTTTGGCCAAAAAATCCAAATCCTTTGATCCATATTTTTCGATAGCAAAAAATCGCCGAGCTCGCAAAACAACTTGTAACTTTACGCCTCTCACAACCAAACAAAAGAGGATGTTCCATTGAAACTTGGTACAGATGTTAGGGAAGAGTGTACCAATATAACAAAACAAAAAAATCGATAATCGAAAAATTTGAAATTCGCGAAATTTGAAGAGTCACCTTACTTTTTGAACACACCTCGTATACGAGTACTTCTTCATTTTCCCACAAGTAATCCCCTCAAATACCATTTGCAGTCACTCTTAAGTCACTGTGAGCCAGTTTTGTTGTTAGCTGGGCAGCTTTATCCGGACCAAGTCCATCCAGCTGTCCGGAATGTCCAGGGCGGGCGTGCATTAAAATTTATTATATAAGCCAACATAGAGTCGCCTTTGCAGTCGCAGCTTCATCTGCCGTCGCCGTAGCCGTCGTCGCAGTTGCCGCAGTTGCAATCTTTTAAAAATCTCGCGTACTCATCAACAACATTTCAAAGTGTACGTACATCAAAGTGGACTAGCCTGGCCCCTGACTTCCCTGCCTAACAGTTGTACATGGAAGGTGTATCGCATAAAATCACAAAAAGCTATCTAAACAGGAAACCCAACAGCAACAGCAACAGCAACGGCAGTAGCAACAGCAACCACAGCAACAACAACAACATCAACAATGTCGTTGGCGGCGTCGAGTAAATTAAAACAAAACGTTGTCGTCGTCTCCTCCTGCTAAAAGAGTTCCTCAGGCCTTGCCACTGATCCTGGCCCCCCGCCCCTAACCAATCCCATTCCACCTTTTATACCTGCTGCTGTTGCTTAGATGTTCTACTCCTGCCCTGGCTACTGGATTGCTCCTCCTGGCTGTCTGACTATGTCTGCTACTGTCTGCTGTTTTGTTGCCTTAACACTTTGCACAAATATTATTATGTATTATGCTTTTTCGCCATGTTGCTGCTGTTGCTGTTGTTGTTGTTGTTGTTGTTTCTGCTGTTGCTGCGGGGTGGCGGCCACAACTTTGATGGATTGCACGTCTGTCGTGAAGAACTCAACTTCAACTTCGACTTCAAACTTGGCTGAGTGAAATGGCAGCCACTTTTTTTCGTTAGTTGGGCGTGATCACTAGCAACAACAACAACAACAACAACAACATCAACAGCAACATCAAGACCAACAGAATTTGAAGGTCAGATACGGAGTTTTTTTTGGGAAAGTCTCGCCGGAGCCGAAAACGTTGTTTATTAGCATCAAATTTTGGCCGCTTAGATGTGGGACGGAAAAAAAGATACTCGAATGTCTGAGCGCACTTTATGTAAGAGATTTATCAAGCAGCTGCATGAAGCAGGGACAGCAAATGCATTTTTAGTGCCTATGGCAAAGTATTTGAAGTGAATTCGTATATTCAATATAAATTATGAAATGAAACTAATAAATGGTTAATGCATATCAAAACTCATTGATTTATTAAGTTCTTCGATTGGAAATGGTAAAAATATTGATCTTATAAATAAAAAAGGTTATAAAATCTGTCAATCTAAGTCCAATGTGCCATTTTTATTGCTAATGAAATATGATATTGCCTACTTTTGTCAAAACCAAAATGTAAACATAAATTTGTTAACAAAAATCCCCTAAAATTGTAGCTACGCCTTTGGCTTTTCCCCCCACTCAAGTGCAATGGCAAAGAAAACAAATATTTTTGTGGCACGCAATGCCCCCCCTCTCTCTCTCTGCGACGCCTCTGCATTTCGGCTAGGGAGCGTCTGAGCCATAAACCCAAAACTGAAAAACGAAAAAAAATTGACTAAAGATGGAGCCAGTGATGAATTCGACATTGGAGTGCCAATCAAGGGAAAACTGGGCTCATAAATCGACATAAAAATATTGAGAGAATCAGGCATGATATCTAGATAAATATATATGTACATATATATGATCAAGGGAAAAGCCAGAGCTTTTGAGCCATCGATTGATTAGTCACGCCTTTCAGAATTCCAGCCAAAGAGCAGCTGCAGCTGCACATCCCAAGTGCTTAGCATCGTGGTGTAAAAGAGCTGAGCAAACAGAATTCAAATCTGAATCCAAAGCGGCAATTAAGCGGCCAAACGAGTCTAACAATGGAAACTATGGCCATAAAACAGCATGTGTTCATAGGTGTATGTGCCTGTGTGTGTAGTTCTTATATGCAAACTGAGGAAAACTGCAAAGGAATCTGAATCT